AAGAAGATGTTTGAATCCTGAGTCAGGGGGTACAGTTCACCAAAACTGTCCCTTTTTCCATGGTATAGTGAAGGTGTAAAACCAAACATGTGCTTTTAAAAAAGCAATCTGCAGTCACTGGGTAGCCAACATTGCCTCAGAAAGGCAATGATATAATAATAATAATAAAAATAATAATAATAATAATGTTGTGCTTATATAAACAAGCAAATTAAACTCTGGTGAGATTTCAATGCTTAGAGTTTTGGGGGAAGACTCTTTTCCTGGATATAATGCAAAGGAATTATTATAATTTTTGGGCTTGCATGTGTGTTCGATGTCTTTGGAGGTATAAACTCTAAATCTCCAAGATAAGCCTGCAAGGAGTAGAAAAGAAATGCAATCACCAATATTCAGACATAATTTAGAAGACAAAGGAAAAGTAACTTCCAACATTCAAGTCTGGGTAATTCTATGCTTTAATAACTTTCCTGACCTTTCTCTTGCTCCATTATTGTTCTATTCAGTTGTGCCTTAAATTTTGCCTTATGTCTTTGAGGGATATAAGACATATATATGTGTCTATATACATACACATGTATCTGTCTGTAGACATCTACTCTCCATTCTGAATACAAATGTATTCAGATAAGTATGATACAATAAGTAGGATTCCTTTTTTTTTCCTTAATTTTAAATTTTAAATTTTGAATCCTTCAGATACAAGTTCCTGTATTTAAAGTTGTCAGATACTTTACAGAGATATGCCACTTTAAAGTTGCATTAATTTCTTACAATCCGACCCCTTGTAGCTAAAATTTTTACCTTGGTGTAATAGACTCCAACCAAGTCAGGGTAAGTAGCAACTCCAGAAAAACAGGGTAATTTGACTAAACTTTTCTGTCTAGGTTGAGTCCAGGTTCACCAGGTCTCTGAAGTAGGAAAGCATAAAGTATAAATGGAATAAAACCCTAGGGGGTCAAAATACAAAACAAAAACTCTTTAGGATTTTGTTCCTTTATGCTCCACAGTGTTTAATCCCAGAGAACCAATAAATGCGGATGGAGCACAAAAAATATGAACTCACCTTAATGTTGCATTTTTTTATAACTTCCACTAATCCAAATGTTTGTTTCAAAAGTCATGAGTAAGAAAGAGTTTGCATGGTTTATATTCCCAGGATCCCATTATAGTAAAGCTCAAAAACAGTTCACTTAAGTATTAGTAAAACTGAAAGGTAAAAAAAGTCCAGATTCTCAGCTGATAATAAATCACTTCATGTCAAGCAAAAAAAATTCTGACCTCTGCTTTCCAGCATTCTCATTAAAACAAGAACTACAGAAATAAATATGGTTAATAGAGTATTAATAGAAATATAAATTTCTGCTATCTAAAGGCAGATGGCACAATGAAGAGAGAACATCAGATTACTAAGCCTCTATACAGAAGAAACCTTCTGCACTGGACCCTTACTACACATTGCTCTCCCTACCATTCCCTTGCAATAGAATTTTGTAACTTAAGCCATCTTGGTGTCAGAGAGATTTATTTGGTGTATGCTCCTTTTGTATAATTATTTAGTTATTACTCCTATAATGCACAGCATTATTTGGAATAAGTCTGCACTACAGTGGTGAACCTCCAAAGTAGCTTACTTTTCTTCTTATAATCCCCTGCTCAACCTAACTCCCTTGTGAGATCTGAGAGGAATATTATTCATTATACTGACAGAAATTTAGAAAGAAAGAAATTTAGAAAGAAAGAAATAAGAAATAAAAAGAAAGAAAGAAAGAGAAAGAAAGAAAGAAAGAAAGAAAGAAAGAAAGAAAGAAAGAAAGAAAGAAAGAGAAGTCCAACATTCCATAGAGAATCAGTAAGACAGCAAGAAGCTGAACTCAAGTTGCAAAACCCAGACAGTGCCTCAGTACCATGAACAATACAAAACATTTCAGTCCCATTCAATCTTCTGAGAATGTTTGCCCAAGATACAAGGTCATAAGCTGCAGTGGAGGAGATAGAGAAAAAATGACCAAATAATTTTTTTAAATTCTCTTTTGGTCTCCTTTTTAGACAAGTGTTAACAAACAAAACCACAAACAACTCTTTCAAAGCCCCTTTGTTAGAACTGAACCTGCTGGAACATTGCACATATTCAAGTCCATTGCTTTGATTTATTCCTACTGCATGAACAGAAAGAAAATAATGAAAGCTGCTACGTGGCATTTGCATTTTGGCATGTAGGAATCCTCCTAAAATAAAAATCCAGACAGACATCTAGAAATAGAATATGCCAACAAAACAGCACAAGTGAATGAGAGATCTTCTTATTACAATCCCCTCTCATGTTTTCAATAATTTATTTTACAACTTTCTTGATCTTTTTCATGCAAACATTTCACTACTTTTTCACTATCAGACTTCCATAGTGCACAGAATCTCATTTTGTAGGCTAAAAAGATAGAATGAAATCTTTAGGTTTTCAAAAAACACCACTGAGAAAAGGAATGAGACAGCTACTCCTATTAATGGCACAAATGCCATTTTTAGTAAGTAAGGTTAAGCTTTTAGGTCAAGATTAAAATTGCTTTTCAATTAAAGTCATATTATTAACTTCAGTAGATCTACACCTACATGTAGTAATAACAATAGATTCCTGTGACTGCAAGATCAAGCTTATTGTAATAAAGAGTTTATAGAAAACTCAAAAATTAACACAGACAAAGATACAATGTTATTTTAAAGAAATCAGAGATGATTCATCACAATTCCATGGATAGAAACTGTGTTTTGGAATACAAAGTTTTGATTCTTACATCACATCCCATGCTCCCACAGAACAAACAGTTCTTAATCAATTAACTGGCATGTTTGGGGACCTGGAGCTTCTGCGGGTCACAACTGGAACCATTGCTCCCATTGGAAAAGTAAAGTACATTTCTTTAAAGATATGTACTGCAACTTTAAGTAACTCCTATTGGTAATCAAAAATATTTTTAAATCCCACTTCTTACAAACCCAGATCTAGTTTAACTCCTACATTCAACTATGCAAGCTAAAATCTTTAATAGTGACTTCCAAAATTATCACCCCACACAAAAAAATGCAAAACAAAACCAAACCTTACCAAGCTCCTATTGTGGCAGTAGGGATATTTACACATGGAAGTAACACAAATATATAAACATTTGTAAAGTCTTGGGCAATATTATCCTTAGACCTGGCTTTTATTTGCAAATTAAGTATGCATTTTAAAACCTAACAATGACTAAATACAGAGGCGATGACGTTAAAAATCCACTCAGTGAGCCTTCCTGCCTATAACATATCAAAACACTTCAAATCTAATTTTCAGCAATTTAGGAACTAATTTTTAGTGCTGTTGTGTTGTAAATCGATATAATTTACAGAGGTCAAATATGCATCCATAGCAATAGAGTAGAATCTCCAAAATGCAATTGCTCCATAAAACCAAACCATCACATGTATCCAAGAAGAAGAAGAATCCATTTGCTTTTACTCTTCCTCCTCTGCTGCACCGAGAAGCAAGAGGCTAAATTTCTTCTTTTCGAGTAGAAGTAGCTGTGAAACTCTTAGCCCCCTAAAGGACTGGCTCACACAAAACCACACTGAATTGCTTCCTCAGCAGCTGTTCCTACATCTTGATGTGGTGAGAGGTCACCCAGAAAGAGATATCGCATCTATGTGGAAACATTGACATTAAAAAGCTACCTGAGGTACTAAGACCGGCTCTATCACACCAACACCTGCAGTATGCACCGTGTTACAACACCCATAAAAACCTGGATATATCACGAAAAATAGGAAAAAGGCAAGCAACACAGCAGCTGACGCTTTCTCATGTCACTGGAAGTAATGGTGAGCATATTTGAAAAAAACAATTTGTCTAAACTAGGTGAGATTAATAGATACAGATTAGTTTAGGCATTGGCCATAATCAAGAAAAATCATCTCACTACCACTTAACTTTGAATGAAAGGCACAGCATGAAGTTTTCAAGCCAGAGATTGTCTGAATTGGCTTTACACTTTCAGGTTATTTGTTTTAATTTTATGAACAGTCTTCTTTCTGTGTTTAGAAAGGTCTTCTAAACACAACACCATGGGGAAGCCGCCATGATTCCTCTCTTATAAACTCTGAGAAATTATATGCTCTGAGCAGGAGAGTCACAGGGAAAAAAGCAAAAGGAAAACGAAGGTGAATTTTAAAGGGGGAATAGATGTCTCTACTACGAGGCCCTAGCAGAGGGAAGAGCAAAACGAGACCAGGCTGTCGCTGCTTTCGTAATTGCAAAGGTGCTGCCTCAAAGGGGAGAAAACTTCCATTAGCAACTTTCTCTGAAACACCTGAAAAAAGCAGCACACAAGGGCTCGTACTCTCTTTACGTGCAATCCATCTGATAATGTCTAAAATTTATTAACCACAACTTTAAACACCGCTGAAGAGAGATGCCTTTTCTAAACGAGGGTCAAAGACAGACGCTTTGGAAACTCAGCAAGGCTCAACCGCAGGGAGATGGGGAAAGCGCAGGGAGACGGGACGGAGTCAACAAGTGTGGGGCGAGTTAGTTTCGCCTGCCGCTTTCCCGAGGGCACGGTCCCCGGCGGGCCGGGGAGGCGCGGCGCTCCCGGGCGGGAGGAGCGCTCGAGCGGCGAGCGGGGCCGGGCTGCCCGGGCTCTCCCCCGGGAGGGGCAGCGGGGCTCGCTCCCGGCCTCCTCGGGCTCCTGCCGGGCTGACTCCATACCGGAATGCCAGGCTGGGCCTCGGCCGCTTCCCTCCGGGTGCGAGACCCACCATGGCCCGCCGGCCGGCGAAGAGCGGGGCCCGCCCTCCAGCGCTGCCCCCGGCCGCTTTCACGCTGTGATACCGCACCGCTGAACACGGAACTGCGCCGGCAGCGCCGGCCCTGCGCCCGGGGAGCTGGGCACCATCGCCTCCTGCTCCCTTGTCCCTCTCCTCTCCCTCTCCCCGCGGCGCAGAGTGAACAAACGCGCCGCCGTCTACCTGTGCAACACCTCCGCAACACATTTTATTTACACGGAATTAGCTCGGGGCATTGTACATTATATACAGATATTTTCCCCCTCCAACAAGGCAGATCTTGTGCAAGATTAGTAGCATCCTCTGGAGCGTATCCGACAGTCCACGGGAAATGTCCCCCCCACTTAGAAGTATCAGCTGTCAGAGTCCAAGTCACTTTTCCCGTCCTCTTGTCTCTTCTCCGGTGACGTTTTAGACGCTTTATTCCACTTTTGTGCGTTTTCTGATTCCTCCGAAGACGATCGCTTTTGCCTCCTCCACTTCGCCCGGCGGTTTTTGAACCAAACCTGTTACGTTAAGAAATTAAATTATTAGAGGGGGAAAAATGAAAATAAAACTATGCAAACCCGCAGCTGACCTCAGCCCCGCAGGAGCCCTGCCGGGCTCGGACGGAGGCAGGGAGGCGGGGGAAGCAGCCGCCCGGGTGGGACCGGCCGGGCGCCTTCGGGAGGCACAGCCGCCTGCCGACAATCCCTCACAGCCCTGTGACAGGCTCGGCCGGCCGCCCCAAGGAAGGGCACTTGGAAATAATAAAAAACTTTCCCTCTGCCCCGCAGAGCGGTCGCTCTCCCTCCGCTGGCAGAGCCGGGCTGCAGCCGCACCGCGATACATCCGGTTCGGGCGCGTTTGAGTGCCAATGGGAGAGGGCTGAAGAAGGGAAAAGAAAGCAAAGTACCTCCACTTTTTCCTCTCTTAAGTGCACCCTTCTGGCCAGCTGTTCCCTCGTGCCCACGTCTGGGTATTTCGTTTCCTGGAAGAGGTTTTCCAGCGCTTCCAGCTGCTCGTCAGTGAAGATAGTCCTGTGCCGTCTTTTCCGCCTGCAGTGCAGCTGGTTCAGTAACTGCAGCTCCGTCCGGGACAAAGTGCCCACGTTCATGTAGGGCAACATCTGATGGGGAACAGGGGACATCAGGACTGACCCAGTGCCCTCGTAACCTACGGACAGACAGACGAGTCGACGATAGGCTTTGCATGAGATCGCTGCTTCCCCCCCACTCCTGTCCCGTCCAGTCCCGTCCCGAAAATGCCCCCTCCCGCCGCCCAGCCGCTCTCCTGCCGGCCGCCAGCTCCCCGCCACCCGCTCCGGCCCCGCGGCTGCGGGAACAAAGGGAGCCCGTCCGCCCCGTCCCACGCCGGGCCGCCTTACCTGCGGGGGGGACGCAGGAGCACTGCTGGGCGCCCAGGGGCGGCACGGCCCCGCAGCACGAAGGGCCCACGGGGGACGCCGGCACATGCAGCTGCCCGTAGTAGTAGTTGTTGTAGCCGAGCCGAGATCCAGTGACGGCCGGCGGCAGCGCGGAGGCGGGAGCCACCGCCCGGGAGTAAAATCCGCCGTAGTCGGAGGCGCTGCCGTAGAGCGAGTCCCCGTGGAGGCTGGGGAAGACGACGGGCGCGGCGCTCGGGGGCAGCAGCACCGAGTCCTTGCAGCGAGGTCTGGCCGCCAGGATATTGTCGATGCTGAACATGCTCACAGGCATGCCCCAAACCGTGCGGGGCAGGGCGGCGGGGACAGGCCGGGGGAGGGGGAAGAGGCTGGAAGGACACGAAACCGAAACTTTTCGGATAAATTTTAAAAAGGGATCGGAGCGAAAAGAAAAGAGCCTTTTCCGAGGGCAGCTTGCGGGCAGAGTGTGCGTGTGTGTCTGTGCGCGCGTGTGCGGTGTGTGTGCGTGTGCGCAGGATCCACCCCTGGAACTTTCCCCCCTCAACTCTCGCCTGTTTACTGATCTCAACCCAGAGGGCTGCTCGGAGTATAATCCATCTGAACCTCTTCCCTTTTTTATACCCAGGCGACGTCATCCTGGATTTAGTTCCTGGTAATATGCAGATGACAAACAAAACCAGATTTGATTTTTTTTTTCTCCCCTTTTTTGGTGGCGAAGAGGTGGGGGTTGCACAAAGGAGTGAAAGCAGCCCCAGTCTGTGTATTGAGAATTAATGAAATTAACGTAATCCTTTCCATTAGTGGGCTTTTTAGAAAGGCCCCAGATTTAGGCTTGATCTCTGCTGCACCGGCTAATTGCCCAGGTTAATCTTATTAATGCCATTGTGTAGAAGTGGTTAGCAGCTCCTAGTCTTGTCTATTATGCGCCTACTTTGGTCGTGTTAGTTCACATTAGTGGGTGCGATTTCCTCTGTCTAAGGCTCAGATTCATTATTTATGCTTCGAACTGCTTAAGAAGCACTTAAAAAAAAAAAAATAAACTGCCACATAAACATGCAACGCCCCCCCACTCCAAGTGTTTCTGTAGCAGGATTTGAATCTTGCGTCCCCGGCTCGGAGGACTGAACGGGCATTGAAGAGTATGTGTTTCTCTGATTTAAGGTGTATGCAGTGAAGCAATAACGTCTTCACTGAGTAACTGAACTATTTTTTTTCTTATTATTATTTTTCTAGGTGACCTGGCGGAACAACGACACGTGAATATTGTAAGCTTCAATCTCTCCGTTTTCTTTCCTTTTTTTTTTTTTTCCCCTTTCCTTTTTTTAACAGATTCAGACAGGTATCACCTTTTATTTTTAAAACAAGCCAAGAGACGCAAACGTTAAAGACCAGTGCCATCTCAAATCCCCGGGTGTGGTAGGTATTCCAGTTTGCTTCCGATCTGAGTTGTGCCTATTTCTTTTCTTTTTTTAATCTTTAATTATCTAGCTTAGAAAACAAAGCCCACAAAGTTGCAATGATGCAGAGAACTTCATATTTTGCGTGTTCCGTGAATTTTTAAATGGAGAAATTTTAAATCCCTAAAACTCGTCCTATTAAGAGGTTTGGCTCTCCTGGTAGCTGGCTCTTGTGATTTGCAGAATACTTCGTCTGTCACGACTGTCCCTGGGAATCCACAGGAGGTGAACTGAATAAGATTAGACTATTTACCCCATCAACTCTCCATCAAAGAAGGTAGGAAATTGTACGCATGAAATGAAAACAAGCCATTAGAGTCCGTTTACGAGGAACACATTATTTTTCCTCAACAAAGAATATCCTCGTTAGCGCTTACTCGCACTTTATCTTTAGCCTTCCTTTCTTCGATATTCCAGGATTTAAAATCGCACCTGAGAATGATCTGAAACGTATTTGTACAGAAAGATTTGTATAAGCGTTAAAAAAAAAAAGAATGCCAACACTAAATTCTCGGTTTATTGATACAGCGCAATGTGATTAATTAGCTGCATCGGTTTTTATTTCAATTTATCTGCCTAACCATTTCTTTAAGCCTTTGGCTTTTAGACCTGAACTTCGTGCAAGTTTTTCAAATTTGATGGAAAGTGAAACTATTTGACAGAGGATTCGGCGGGTTTTTAGTTAGATTTGGGATTTTTCTTTTTTCTGTTGATGTTTTGAGAGTTGTCTTTATTTTTTGTTTGTTTGTGGGTGGGCTCGTAGAGGGAGTTTCGGTTTGTTGGGGTTTTTTGGTCACTAATTCCCTGAGTGCAGCCGGTCGCGCTGCATGCAGAGCAGCGCCTGCTTAATGCCGCCATCGGGATGCTCCTTCACGTCCTCAGCGGCTCTGCAGCAATGCGCGACAGCATCCCTCCGGTGCCCTGCGCAGCCCCGGCAGGGAGCGGGGCTCCGGGCGAGCCGGGCTCGGGGTCCCCGGGAGAGCCAGGCCTGAGGGGAGGCCGGCAGCGGGGCCACGGCCCGCTCGGGCTCCGGCCCGGAGAGGAGAGGCGAGGAGAGGAGCGGAGCATCCCGCGGCTGCCCCGGGGGCTCGGGGCGGGCGCTGCGCGGCGGCGGGGACAGCGCTCAGCCCGGGACTGCCGCCCCTCGGGGAGCAAAGCGGTGACCCCCGGAGCCCCGCTCCTGCGGGGGCTCGCAGGTGGGGACACCCTCGGTGGGGACAGCCGCCGCCGGGGCAGACTTCTCGGGTGTTTAGCATCACTTGCCTCAGGGCTTCATGTCCGCGCCTGTCCGGCTTCTTCCAGGTGAAAGCAGCACCGCGGGACACGAGTGGTCAGCGGAGGAGCCGCGGCGCTGGCGGAGCGCACACCGCCCGGGCCGGCCGGGAGCTCGGCTGCCCGAAGAGATTTTTGCTCCCCTGACGGATGATCCACCATGCTACAACGCTTACCTTTATTCCTAATTTAGAGATTATATTTTCCAAATAATTTGTCCCCCCAGTGGGGAAGGTTTCTTTTATTTTGTTTTATTTTGTTTTAGTCTGAGTAGTTTTGCCGTGAAACCCCAGGTTTGATACCCGCTTCGCAAAACCTGCTCTCGGAGTTTCTCATTTCCCATGCGCTCTTCGCTAACCCGGCAAACGGAAAATTGTGTTAAACAAACAATCAGTTGTCACACATTGTCGGGGTGAAATTGTAATAACAAATGAAACACAAGCAAATTGTGCTGCATAGTGTTGCTAAGCAATTGTTTGTTACGGGAGGGTGGTCACAGCATGGGTTGAAAGAGGGATCTAAAGAGGAGCATAGCGCTGGGCAGAGCAAGCTGTTAGGTATGAAATACGATAAACACGGCGCTGATTTTCAATATTATTACCCAAACACGATTTCATACAAAGCAATCACCATACACAAGTCTATGAAAATGCGCTTGTTGAGAAATCGGAGGGGTTTTTTTATTATTATTTTAATATATTAAAGAATAATTCCGGGGATGCAAAACGCACCCACCGCCTTCCCGGAGGACTCTTTGACCGGCCTGGCGGCCGGAGCGGCCCCGTGAGTGCCGGCCCGGGGGGCCCGGGGCCCGCAGCCCAGCCCGGCCGGCCGGGGCTGGCCGTGGGCAGGTCCCGGCTGCGGCTCCCGCCCCACGAGAGCGGGGAACCAGGGGTGAACCAGGGGTTCGGGGCATCAGCGGCGGCGAAACGGCGCTTCGCGGCACATCTCTCACTTATAAATGCCATCACCCTGCGGCGTTCCCCACGTTTGTTTCAAATTGATTGCATCATTGCTTCACCAGGAAAAAAAAAAAAAAAAAAAAAGTATAAAAGTCATACAATGCGAAATTACGGTAATTTGTTCCCAGAATAAACTTATCTTGAACTGATTAGGAGAGTCAGTCATTTGAAAACGAGGCAGAAAAGCGGTTGGGTATTTTTCTGAAAGCTTCCCTCTAACAATATCAGCTTCTAAAGTTTTCATTCATATAAACTTTATTAATGAAGATCTTTTATTTAAATGTCAAGAGGATTTGAAATTTAGAGTAAATTATGAAGCATGCATGTCTTGCCAAGTCATGGGTCAAATGCATTTGTGAAAAACTGCTAAAGGAGCATATGGTTTTGAATTTTTCTACAATGACTAGTGTTTAAATAAATTGCTTGTACTGCTTAACTTCATGTATAATTTTGACAGAAATTGGCCTATAGCCTTTTGATATGTAAACATTTCAGGCTTTTATGCGGTATAAAAAGACACTTGCTTTTTGGGATCAGCTAAAGCAGTCACCCTGTAATTCAGAAAACTGGCACCTAACGTTACATTCTTGCTGCATTTCAACTTTCAAGTGGCAGCATAAAGGGGGGAAGGAAAAGGGACATTTCAAAAGCAATTGGAATTAAAAACTGCGAATGAGGTGGGAATGTGCCACTCACTGTCTGATTGAAATGGATAAACCTTAGCACTAAGAGAATTCTCAGTCTTGTTTTCCAAAAAACAACAGAGGAATCAGTGAAAACAGTCTTCAACGTAGCACAGACCTGACTCGCATGTCAAATTAATGCCTTAAAACAAAGTCTGTCTAAAGTACAAATAGGTGTGATGAAGAAAACCCAGATATCCCTTCTGAATTCTGTCAGCTGTTTCTCTTCTACAAACTATCTTGGGCTTTAAAAATTGAAACAGACTTTTATACATGGAATATTGCATACAATGTATATAAATATACCACTACCCTTTGAAACGCCACTTAGCTAGCTTCATGTTCACTTGCATTTCACCAGTTCTTAAGTCTTTTGCAGTTTTTCCTCCAGTAAACATTCCATAGACTTCAATTAGTGCTTTGTTTTAGTGATGTGTTTTGGTTTTTTGTTTTGGGGTTTTTTTGTTGTTGTTGATTTTTTTTGTGTGGTTTGGGTTGTACTTTTTTTTTCTTGTGAAGAGGAGACTAGAATGTGCTAAGGGCTTCAGGATACAGCCCGTAAAACTAGTGGAGTCACTCAGTTTTAAGTCTGCTTAAACTAAAATGACTTTGTACATGTATAAATCCACCAAGCTACTGAATAAATTCATTTATTACTAATATATCTGTCTCACATAAATAAACCTCCTAATGTTGATTAGATGGATAAGCCTAGCACAGTGCTAGACAGAACAGGACCTGGATAGCTGCCTGGTGCCAGACAGCTCAATATGTTTATTTCCTGTGTGCTTTAGCGGGGACTAAGCTGAAGTTGGAAAAAGGTTTAAATGAACTATATAATTTCAATCTGTTACTGTAGTAACATTTGTATTTATTGTATATGTCAGTTAGTCATACACAGAGTTCTCAAGATACACTACCCCCTTTGTTAGTGGTCAGAGGTGTTTTTTTTCAGAATTGTAATGAGTCAACATAGACAAATCAGATGCTGTAGCAATTTAAAAGCTGGTATGGCTTCAGTCTGATTTGATATAAGCTAGTGAAGAAAGTAAAATCTCTTGTAGGTTTCCATGAATTTGAACAGAGGCCAATGAGATTTTTTTTGCAGGTTTCGTATGTATTCCAGCTAGCAGCATACTTGGCAAATGAGGATATACGACATTAATGACTCAGCAAGAAAAGATTTTTCATCTTAACAGAGAAATCTGCATCTAAACTGAGCAGATTGTTGCGAAGAAGAGTCTTTTGACATAGTGCATCTTTGCAAGAGGACAGTGGGAA